TTTTTCCAGTTTTTGATGAATATACAAAGTAAGTTCAATTCTCATTTAACAACTTCTTCACAACTTATTCGTTGGCATTGCAGTTAATACAATGTGTTGATATATACTCTTCTAAAAAAATTAATATATACCCTTTGAGATCTTTGTATTCCATTTCCAGTACTTTAGTTTCCCTGCCTCCTTAACTTCTCCTCTTTGCTTTTGAGTCATTGCTAATCTTTTGGTTTGGAAGTAGGGTGGTAACACGCTGTTTCACTAAAAGGTGATTCGGGGATAGGCTTGGGTATTGTCTCAGAGAAGCCTTTTTTCAGTGTGGTCTCTATTTTTTAATTTTTTTTTTTTTAAGCAGCATTTCTACCATTCTATTCTGAACTGTCTAATCTGACCCTAGTCAGAACTGTGAGCAGTGGTAGCTCAATACTGTCTAGTTCTTCTGGCCTCAGTGTCGATGAGGTGATGGCTGGTACAGATTTTTTCCTCTCTTGATTACATTCTTACTGTTTTGCTTCTGTTCACTTGTATGTTGCATGTCCGCTCACAGGCTTTGAGGACCCATGCATCAAACTCGTACCATGCACTTTACAATGATGCTTATCATGAGTTTTGCCAGCTATTTTAGACCAGTTGACTGAGTTGTCCGTGAAACCCTAAGCCTTCACATCCCAAAAAGCAAATTTGAAAGATGTTTTGTTAAGCCTTATCTGTGTGTTCAGTGAATGTATATGTCTGCTCACTCATATTTGTGCTAGTACATACCTGTGTTGTCATTGTTACATGATTTTTAAATCTCCTGATAACATGCCCAAAATAAGAGAGATGAATTTTCACCATCCTTGCCTCGAAGGAATGCCCTTATCTGCCTCTTTCATGCTACATACAGCCTGCCCTTCTGGTTGTAAAGCATTGGTGATCTAGCCTGCTCTAGAGTGAGAATTTACTTAGTGTGTTTATTGTTTATGGTCTCTTTCCCTGGTTAGAATGTCAGCTCCATGAGGGTGGCCATCTCCGTGGTCTCTAGGCTCTAGACCAGGGCCCCACCTGGTGGGCTCTCACCTGGAAGTGGATGCCTGCGATTGAGGAGCTCATCATTTCACTGTTTCACTTCTTGTGTGGCTTTTGAAACTAGCTGTGAGTGGAGTGTGCTGTGTGCAGACCCCGAAGGCTATAACAGTTCATCCTGCTTTTGGAAATCAAGGTCTTTGGTTTTGAGCATCATTCACAGCTGAGGAGCTCTGCAGTCCTTGCATTGACTGTTTCTGAACTAGCCAAAGCTAGCCAGAGCTTTTTGGTTGTGTCCAGAGCTCTACCTTCATGCTTGGGGCAGGTCGTTCTGCTGATGAGAAAGTGGGTTCAGCTGATAATCCTTTCCTCCAGCCGCTTAAGAAGAACAAGTAAAGCGTGTGTCATTAGCAGCGTGTGTGTTCTGGGCCACAGATTATATGTCCTCTCGCTTCCTCTGTTCACAGAAGGCCAGAATGGCCAATCTGAGTATCCTATATGATTCCATACTCCCAAAAGCCTGTAAATCTCCATTCTTTCTTCTTTAAAAAGAATATTTTCCACAGGGAAGAGGTGGGATAAGCATGGGAATGGAATTGATACCTTCCTTATGAGAGGTGAGCTATTGAGTGGGGATGCTCTGGTTCCCCCTACTTGAGGCTGTCCGGACACTAGCATCTCATTTCTAAGTATACAGCCCTGTATTAGTAGGTTCCTCTTGAATTCAGAGCTCTGAGTTCATTGGAAATAGGGACTCAGGGATAAAGGAATGAAATGCATTGCTTTCATAAGTGAACTCATGAGTGTGGGGTACGGTTGCTATTTATTGAGATAAGTGTATTGAGATCCTTTAGTAAAAGTTATGCCAATGCAGAATACTTAGATTAGTGAGATTCTTTGGCTATATTGGTTTGTATAAAATGTTTGAATCTAACTTGAGGGATCATTTATAAATCTACATTCATACTCTTAGTCCCCCATTCACACACCACTCCTTAATCCCCTACAGTCTACCGGCCACACACTCTCCTTCAACTCTCATGGTCCATCATCCACATACCCTCTCC